GCAGAGCTATTAAGATGTTTCAGTCTGGACCAATGTAGTAAACCGACACAAAAGCAGCATCCCAAAGCAAGACTGAGTGAGTGAAAAAGAAGAAAACAATTTACATAGTAAGACAAATGTCCCTGACTCAGGTGTTCTTTGGAACGATGATGAGTTAGCTCCTTACTGTTCTGTCTGTGGACTGTCAGAATGGGGACAGGGCCACAAGCCAGGTTTGGTTTATGTAGGGGCTCGGGCAACGCAGGCTAGTTGCCAGGTTGGTTTTGAGTGAATCAGAAGAGCACTCAGCCTTATTAAGCCAACGCAGCTCTCACTGTAGATGCAGTGAGAGCTCGATCTGGTTATTCATCCAGTAATTCAGACGCAGCAGGGGCGGACACAGAGACAGGCTTAGTAATGGCTGGTTAGACGCAAGGATAGATGTTCTGACAGCTCTCTTATATGAAGAGGAAACACACTAATGTTAAGATGCTAGAGGTGGTGGTGATGATTACAATGACAGGGATTCAAATATTGATCTTTAAACGGCAGCACTCTGGCAGAGCAGATAATGGGTGTTTGTTCAGCACTATAATAAGAAAAGATCTGGTTTGAAATTCCATTACACTGCTTGTCAGTGTGAAACAGGGATGCTGTAAACATAGCAGCAGTGTATTGCTCACACACTGGGAGATGACAGTCATTTTTCAAACCTTTTTGTGTTTTCTCTCTTTCTAATGTTTTGTTCACATATACGCTTATATTTTCAATGGCTCTTTTGCTTGTAATGAAATGGCAAGAGCAATATGAGTAATTCCATGGCTAGATGTTTAAATAAATCTGAAATGTATTGCCTGCACCCACACTATTAAATAATTCAGTAGATAACGTCGCCACTGGCACTTTAGCTTGTGCTCCATAGAGAGGCTCAGAAGAACAGCACTGTGCCTGTTTCTGTCTTGTTACCAGAGTCAGGGGATGGTACACCATATACCAGATGTTGCCATTGGAGTTCCATCTGCTACTGCGTACATTGTGGGTAATGTAATGAATTATTAGCGCTAAAAAAAGTTTGATTGTCTCTGATATCATTTTAAGTGTTTCTCTGATTAGCTTGGCTTAGCATAATGTCAACACACAGTTCTGAGTGACAGCAACGCCTACAAGTAGCTCTGCTGGTAACCTGAAAACCTCATGGTGATGACAACAAACAAGAGCCAGGCCAGCTGTGTCCCCCTGCTTCCAGTTATGCAAAACTAAGCTAATCTCTTGACAGCTCCAGAGTGAGATATTGATCTTCGAATCAAAATCTCGACAAGAGAGCAAATCACATATATATTCCATAATGCCGAAGTATCATTTATAATGTGCCTCCTCCAGCCACTGCAATGTTACTATAAATGAGTGTGCACGCACGAGTGATGCCCTGCAAGCTTGCGCACATTTTTTTATTTCATTAACAGAAAATTAGAAATGTTTAATCTTCATCTGGAACAATATCTGACTTCAATTATACACAGTGACAAAGTATGATGGGATTCACTTGCCTTCTTTTTCACTCAGTAACTGTAGTAGATCAAGGGAAATTAGCAAAATGCTTTAAAAACTGGATATGTTCCTGGATCTGCACCAAAACTATGTACTTGTTCCTTGGCCTATCGTTCTACTAAATTTCATAGAAATGCTGCTAACTGCACAAACAATTAAAATTAAATAATGAGGTTACTATCATTTCATCTATCAACACATTTGGTCTGTCTGTTTATTTATTCTTGTTTTGATATTTTATTTTTCAGTTTAGTTTAATTGTAAAGTTTAACTGTAAAAACCCTGTAACTGAAAAGTTCTAGATAAACAAGTATTTATCACAGGACAGACTGTTGATATTATGTATTATGTAAAATTGTAACAGATACTCTGTGTCAACTCTGTTTCCACAAAGGTTAAATGTGCTTAAACTAACCTTTATTCCAGTGAGGATTATTCCTAAACTGAAGTCAGTTCTCCAGCACAGAGCAGATGGTTTGTGCAGCTCGGTTTTGTTGATCTACTGTTCAAAGAGTTTGCACAGGGCGGCTGGTGGTCCCTGTCCATGAAAGTGGGCAGAGAATATTAATAGAATATTAACACGTAACAGATGTTTTGAAAAACATGCTGCTTGCATGATTTGATTTGTGATACGGAATGATGAATGGTTGTGTGCGTGTGTGTGTGTGTGTGTGTGTGTGTGTGTGTGTGTGTGTAGAACTTAATACAGATAGCATAAACACAACAATCTCAAACAAAACCCATTTGTCCCAAGCTGCCACTTTTTGAAGTGTGTGAGGAGTCTGATTGGATACGTGCATGCATAGGTATCAATGTCTCGAATTAAAGCTATTAAGGTCTGTCTAGCCATTCCATATACACTCTCTCTTACACTCTTTCTCTCTCTTACATACACATATGATAAAGCCAAACCAGAGGATCAAAGCTTGGTGCTCTAATGAAAAACAGATTTGCTATTTTTCAGTCTACTCATGCTCCTCATCCTTTCCTCCAAATGTGTTGTACTCCTACTCTTGTCCTCCACACACACACATACACATACACCCACACCTACCCACACACACACACACACACACACACACACACACGTGTATGTGTATGTCAATGATATGTTTTGACAACAGTAGGAAAAGACAAATTAGCACAATGTGAGATTGTTAATATCTTGTTTTGTGAAGTCAATAGTTAACTAGAAATCATCAGTAGAATATCTAAGTAAAGGGACACTGTAATATAATTACCTTTGAGTTTAATTGTTAAACAGGAATAATGTTTCATTTTGATTCAGAAATTGATTCAATTAATAAAATAGGCCACTATTTTCAGGTGGTTACTCTAGTGAATGTGCCAAACCATCCACTCATGCTTTTAGATTATATGTTTAACATTTCAAATTTAACATAACTGACTGTTCAACTTGCACTAGACTTCTTGATGAAGGTCATTGACAGATAAAGTTATCTACAATACACCCCTTTTGGCAGCAGACATTTTGACTTGTCAAAGCAGGAAAAGCACGGATGGAATTAATAATGCAAATGACAGCTGCATTCCATTTAGGTGAGCCAGCTCCAGTGCTCTGGTATTACGCATACTCACTCACTGATGTGGCTTACTGGGACACATAATTGAATGGAGCCATTGTTTGTGTTGTTACATACACCTGTGCTTTTTCTGCTTTGCTAGTCCAGGAGTTCGGTGGACTTTGCCAACGTTAATCTCTGGGTGAATGTGTGTTTAATGATGTGAGCCCTTACTTTTGAGTTTGATAAAGGTTCATATTTTGACTGTGACGTTATCCAATTTAAGCAACTCTGTTCCTCCCTGCAGATGAGTGGACAACACATCCTCTGCCATGTACTTGGATCACTGTTTGGATCCATTTCCTGTTGCATCTTTCCATGTACTAGTAGATTATGGAATATCTTGCTGTTATAGTATAATCAGGATACCTGTGAGTCGGCCTAGTGATGGGTTAAGAGCCCCTGCTCCACCTGACACACACCCTCACACACAAATTAAATCACCTTTTGAGCTTTTTGCGCCTCTCCTCGTGCTTGTACTCCCACTAAGTGCAGTGACAAAAGCAGCCCCGGCCTACTTTGGCTAAACAGCTGGGTAATTGCAGCCATCATTTATGTGAGTGGCTCATATTATAGCTGAGAGGCAATGTGGGTACGCTGTATGTGAGTTTGTGTTTGTTTAGTAACTTGCACTTGTTGTTCAAAGTAGATGAATGGTGAGGATTAGTTTACTCTGTTAAGAGAGAGAGAGAGAGAGAGAGAGAGTGAAAGAATGAGAGAGAGGTGGACTGTGCTACAATAGATGCTATAATAGCTCTGTTTTCAAATGCATCTCTTATCCCGCTGTTACTCATATGACATCAGAGACACTGTTGAAAAGCTGTAGAAAAGTATAATAAAGTCTCTGCTGTTTGAATTTGTTCTATTATTGTTAAAATGTAACACATAATTGTTATATGTATATTATTATTATTCTGCACAAGAAAATCCCCAGCTTTTAATTGTTTCTATGATTGCTTAGATTCATATTCATGTTTGTGTTTAGCAGGGTGCAGCTCACATATTGTGGAGATTTTTGTGAGACACAAAGCATTTTGTATTTGTTGATTTACAATCATTTTGAGTTGAGGACATTTTCTAAACACGAATAAACATTTTAGAGGCCTTTTGCATTGTAGCTACAGTATAAAAGTACTTATTATGCCTCTGTGAGTACTATATTATTATATATTATGTAATGAATTGGCTAACTTCCAGTTCAGTCATTGGCTATTTACTTGGTAATTAATATTTTACTTAACTATTTTTAGGGACAATTTCTGACTTTTTGCACGTTTGTATTGGACAAATCATTTGTAATTTTGACCTGAGTTTTATGTATAATTTCAACTCCAAAGAAACAAGTAACTACTGCTTTAAAAAACATGATATTTCACTCTGAAATGTAATGGAGTAGAGGTACAAAAGAGCACAAAATGGAATTACTTACAAGTACCTCAAAGATGTAGGCCTACTGAAGTACACTATGTCAGTACAGTGAGCAGAATATGAATTGTGAATTACGTTGTAATGTTAACAAGCAGTTTGACAGAAGTGAATGAAACCATGACAGCCCTGTTTGAATGTGCTCAAACATACTTTACACAGTCTGGTAGAGGTTTAGTAGAATTATGTGAGAATGTCCATATAAAAACCCATATTGCTCTTTCATCCAATAACAAACTAATGTCACTAATGAGGTTGACTACTATAGCAACCGTGCTACAGGGAGAGGGCTGCTAATTAGCTGCTTCCTCGTTCGGTATGCTTCATTTGTTGACGAATGTGTAATGAATCTCCACCATTCTCCTGTGTCATGTACTTGAAAGTAAGCATTGTGTCAGAAGAATAATAGAAGGTAATGTGCTGTGAAATGCTGCAAAAATAAATCATCCCACTTTTGTTTTTCAGATAATATTCTCTCTCACCATGTGGGGAAGATCTAAGATGCTATTCCACTAAACCAGGACAAGAGAGAGAGGCAGCAAGACAAAATCAGATCTTCTTTTGAATCTTCCATCATTTGGATAAGGAATAACTCTTTTTCTGCACTGCTGTACATGATTGTTTTCGCAAGAAAACAGTAAAAGAAAAAGAAAAATTGAAACTACACACTCCTTTTCTTGTGAAATTATTTTCTTTGACTTCTGACCCTTGACATTTAGTCCTCAGTATGAGCAGTATGGTAGGAAAGCTAGACCCTCGGAGGGTACAGTGGGGCGCAAAATGGAACACCTTTGCGTCCCGTGTCCTGAGGACCAAACCTGTGGAGTCCATGTTGGATTCGGCCATGACCGGCACTAGCTCACATGGTACTAGGCTGGCCCGTGTGTTATCTACAGTGGACCTGGTGTCCCTGGGTGTGGGTAGCTGCGTTGGGACAGGGATGTATGTGGTCTCGGGGCTGGTTGCCAAGGAGATGGCCGGTCCGGGGGTCATTGTGTCCTTCATTATTGCCGCTGTGGCCTCCATATTGTCAGGTGAGACTGGAGCAAATGCACATACAAACATGCATTTTGTGACTTTTTTCTGCTGTTAAACAGTCTTACTGTCTCTCAGTCTTTCACACACACACAAAGACACACACACACACACACACACACACACACACACACACACATACACACACACATTCTAGACTGGCTATAACACACTACAGGCCTCATTATAAAGGCAGCTGTCATTCTTATCACAATTACACTGATGTGATTTAGATGAAGAGCCTTTTAATAACTATATAATAATAACAAGGGCAAAGACATTAAACTGGCAGAGCTATATAATATAAAAGGCACTCAAGGGATGTTTTAGTATTACCTTAATGCTCCTATCCATACCTTCACTCAGCCTTTCACTTGGATGATAATGCATCATTGATATGTGTGTATGAATGTGTGTTGGTCTACACCTTTGTCCTACAGGAGTGTGTTATGCAGAGTTTGGCGTGCGGGTGCCTAAGACCACAGGTTCGGCCTACACATACAGCTATGTGACTGTGGGCGAGTGTGTGGCGTTTTTCATTGGCTGGAACTTAATTCTGGAGTATCTGATTGGCACGGCAGCGGGGGCGTCGGCCCTCAGCAGCATGGCAGACTCACTGGCCAATCACAGCATCAGCAACTTTATGATTTCACACATCGGAACTCTCAATGGCTTGGGTGAGTGGGAAAGGATGGGAGCCAGCTCTCATCCGTTTCTTAAAAAGCTAGAACCATTGAATCATTTGCGACCAACACATCACTGGTATGCAATGCTGTCAGTGATACAGCAGAGTTTGTTTAAGGAACTCATGTTGTTTGTATGTGAAGAAAACTAAGGACATTTACAATTTTAGTGATAATAAATAGCAAATACAATATTTGGACCATGTTTTATCACTGATATATAGTGTTTCTTTTTACTAGGGAGAATGTATTCTCACTAGCACATTTTTTTTGTTTGATTGTCCTAGAGTTCAATTTTACAGTTTAGAGCTTATCGGCTATCAGCTAGAGTCTGTCTGTGGTCGATCCAACATCATTGTCTTAGTCAACTGTCAAGCAATTATTGCTTTAAAATCTATAATCAGACTATCATCCAAGTGACCTCTGGAGAGAAAGTATCCCTTTTACTTCCCACACTCCACAAGGGGATCAGAGTCAGGTCTGTTCTTGTGGTTGCAGTTTAACGTCCAATACTTCCTGCTGTAGTGGCTTGACCCTGACTTCTCCTGGGCTGAATGACAGCTTTGTCAGTGTAACGCATGTACTCTCACTTTGCAGTCATTCTGTATTCTTGCAGTAATCTAATGCTCCTCCTCAGTGTCATGAACTGCCTTGTCAACATGTAACAGAAGTGTAATATCATCTGTATCACGGGGAAAGATTTTGTATGACAATGACTCAATGAGCTAATGTATTTAAATGACATGTTATGACATGCATATTATCATATATATCCTAATAATGATGAAAAATTAGAGTAACACCATTTGGGAACATCCAAAGTGTATCAGTTTTTTTCCATGGACCATCCAAACAATTCTTCACTGTTTATCTTATCTTAAATCATGTCATTATGGAAAGTAAAAGCAGCCGTAGCATCTTGGATTTCTAAATGATTATACAACATAGTTTTCCATATCATAAACTGTACCATGAGGGGAATGCCTGCTGATCTGGTGTTATACTAGATGGCTGTGTGTGCCAGCTGTGTCTATCTAGATGACACCGCCCTGACAGTCTCTTCCTGTTGGACACTGACAAAGCGGTGGTAGTGGTCACATGATATGCAACATGGCCAGCTGTTCCACAACATAATGGAAAGTTAATGTTTCCTGTTCTTGCTGGAGAGAACGTGTGGAATTTAGCTCAAAATATGTCTCATTACTTTCCATGTGTGACCACCTGGGTATATTTATAAAGTCAGCTGATTTGGATTAAATAGTAATTATTGATAAAGTGTGTTACTCTGCAATCAATGTAACACTTTAGTGTGATTGTGATAGTTTACCTGACGAAAATAGTTATGTTTCCCTTTTGGTGTTTCAAGAATATGATTTTGGGGAAGATGGCCTGATGGCGATCTTATGCTCACTGCTAACTCTTTAACACACACAGTGCTGAGTGACTGTACTGGCATTGTTTAAACTGGCTTTTAAATAGTCCATAGCGCTACAATGATTGACTCGATTTATTTATTTAACCAGCTTAGGTTTTTGGAAGCAAATATCCATCACCCACCACCACCAACTTGTACAACTATAATATCTGTGTGTGCTAATCCAAACCTTATCCTCTAGGTAAAGGGGAGCAGTCATACCCAGACCTGCTGGCGCTGCTGATCGCACTGCTGGTGACAGTGATAGTTGCTTTGGGAGTGAAGAACTCTGTGAGCTTCAACAACGTGCTGAACGTCATCAACCTAATAGTGTGGGTATTCATGATGATCGCCGGACTTTTCTTCGTCAATGGAGAGAACTGGGACGAGGGGAGGTTCCTGCCCTTTGGCTGGTCGGGGGTATGCACACATATGCAAATACACGCATGCACTCACTAGTCACAAGTAACAAAATAAACAAAACAGGAAGGTCAGAAAGGAAAGTGTTTAGGTTGATTAAGACCTGTTTTGCTTATGTTCTTCATGTAAGCTTTAATTTCATTTGCTTCTGTTTAGGTGATGCAGGGAGCAGCCACCTGTTTCTATGCCTTCATTGGATTTGACATCATTGCTACAACAGGAGAGGAGGCCAAGAGTCCCAACACCTCCATCCCCTATGCCATCACTGCCTCACTCATCACCTGCCTCACTGCTTACGTCTCTGTGAGTTACCTTAATGACCACAGACATAAACACGAACAATAAATGATTTAACTTTTATTCTGTTTTTTTGGTATGTACACAATGAGGGGAGATAATGGCATAGCTCACTCACTCAAATGTTAGAAAATACCATTTTTATTTCACAGATAAACAATTTGTGGGAAGACAGTAGACTATAATCATAGCTTCTAATTCATACACCCACATAGTTTCAAAAAACTATGCGGGCTTTTGATGTGGTAACTTTTGAAGTACATGGGGACAAACATTGCAAATTTAAATCAGTGAATGGAGAACAAAACGTAAGTTCAAGTTCATGATTTGGTCATTTTGTTCATACTGTTTTGTTAAATGATCCTTAATTTTATAATGAAAAACTTTTACTTTTCTTGGCTTACCTTTACTAAAGTGTTACCCCAAACTTTGAGCAGTGTCTGACAGAAGGATAGAAAGTCAAACATCAAGAATCTTCCCACTGCACTCCATCTGCATGGGTGTGTATCTCATCTCTGATCTTTACGTATTCAGCTTGCACAGCTTACCAGACTTCTGACTTTGACACGTTGCTGGATGGTTGTTGCTATGGGTACCGTGTAACAGCGGCCTATCAGGAAGAAGAATTTTTTCGGCATCGTCTGGGGCTAAGATTGCATAAACTTCAAAACTCCACTGCTTCTCTTTGAGTACCTAGTCTTTCTCCACATCAGCCCTATCTTGTGCTACAAAATCTATGTTCTCAGCTTCTCCTAATCACCATCTTTCTTTGATCTATCTCACTCAGTAGGCGTCTTGAAATAAGTTTTTTGCTCCCATCAAAATCCTCTAGATGCTGCAGTTCAAGATCCTGGAGTCACAGCAATCATTAAGCCCATTACATGTCACATATTTTATCTGGTAGCACTGGCTTTACTGTACACATGAATTAGAGAGTGTGAGACAGTCTAACTTCATTCGAAACGGTCACAATTTGTATGGTTCTTCCTTTAGTTTTTCCATGTTGAATTTCCTCATATAAGGTAGAGAATGTTAAATGAAGTTTTTGGGAAACCTCTATCATGGTGGGGAGTCACATGAATGTGCAAAGTGAAAACTAGCCGACAGCGAGCTACAGTGGGCACTGTAGAATGCAGTTTGCAGTCGGCTTTGGTCTCAAAACAAATATGTTTAACCATGATTTGTGACAGGCTAGAATGGATGAAGGATCAAAGGGCACTCGGTTACTAGGGGTAAACTGATCTCTCTACCTTCTTCTCTGTGAGGATTAATGTTTTCTGTTCACGAAAATCCCTCTCTTTTGCAGCACTGTATCTGTGACAGATGGTCCTGCAAAATTTCACACGTTAGACGCACTGTTCAAAATTGAGCACACACTTACACACACAGTGAGATAGTAGGATGACATGAACATTTTGCAAGTGATGCTATGTGCGGTGTGCTGAATGCATTAACTGTGTAAAAATATGGGCTGTGGGAGTGTTAAATATAATTAAAGCATCTGTCAAATTATTCTGATGAGGTTGAGAAAATGGTCCTACTACGAGGTCCATTTAGTAGCTGTTTGGGAGTTTTTGATCATAATAAAATGCTCTTTATCAGGTTTTTTTTTTTTTTTTTTTTTAGAAAAATAATTCACAATTCCTTTGAAAACTGGTGAGGCCTGCAATGGGGTCTGTGCAGCATTTTTTTTTACTACAAACTACCACTAGGAGCACCAAAATCACAAACCATCAAATTCGACATAGTGGCTTATAACATAAATATTTAATATTAATTAATTATCATAAAACTCTTTATTAATTAATAGAATCTCTGTTTTTTTATTCAACCCTCTTCCATCCAGGTTTCTGTGATCCTGACTCTGATGGTCCCGTATAATGAGATTGACGCGGACGCCCCGCTCATGGAGATGTTTGCCATGCATGGCTGTATGTTTGCAAAGTATATCGTCGCGGTGGGCTCCATAGCCGGACTCACTGTATCCCTCCTGGGGTCCCTGTTCCCCATGCCCAGGGTCATCTATGCCATGGCGGGGGACGGCCTGCTTTTTAAGTCAGTCCACACAGTTATTTAGTATTATTTATTTTTCATGTCAATCTAAATGGCATGAGCAACTGAGTCTCAATGTCCTTTTTTTTGCGCGTGTTTAGGTTCCTGGCCAATGTATCTTCCTACACAGAGACCCCTGCTGTTGCCTGTGTAGTGTCAGGCTTTCTGGCAGCCCTGCTGTCCCTCCTGGTCAGTCTCAGAGACCTCATAGAGATGATGTCCATAGGAACCCTGCTGGCCTATACCCTGGTGAGTGCTGGATGATGATGGTGGACACATCCATATACACCGTATGGATACTTGCAGGGTGCTCACACTTTAGCTCGCTGTGTTACAGATATATTCTTAGTACTTTGTAAACTGTTACAAATAGTACAGGGCAGCCAGTAAGCACACAGTACGCTATAATCTTTGTTAATAGAACCAAATATAGATTTATTGTGTGGTTAACTCTATGATTTCTTCTTTAGTCTGACAGACTTTGAAGGAGTTCTCAATTTCAGCAACAGTTTTTTTCTGACTATATCAATCATACAGAATTATAGCTGTAAACATACAAAAAAAAAGAGGGCAAAATAACATTACCAAAAGGTGATGGATCAAGTGTTGTATGTCTATGATTAGATGAAACACACTTTTATGTGACAATGGGGTCAAATCTTTCTGCTTTTAAAAGAAACTAATTCTTCCTTTTCCTGCAGGTAAGCCTGTGTGTCCTACTGTTGCGTTACCAACCTGAGAGTGACATCCACGGCTTTGTGAACTTCCTCTCTGAGGAGCAGAACAACAAGAGGAAGGAAGGCGTTCTGGCTGAGTGCGAAAAAGATGCCTGTTCACCCACCAGCGAAGCAGATGAGTATGGAGATCCGCCCACTAACACCTGTGGAGCCAAAAACCTGCCGTCACTGGGTGATAACGAGATGCTAATAGGCAAACCAGATAAAAACGCCTACACTGCAAGCCACCCAAACTATGGCACAGTGGATATGACTACTGGCATTGAAGCAGAAGAGTCCGAGGGCGGGATGTCCCGGCGGTTGAAGAAGCTCATTGGTCCACGCTACTACACCCTGAGGATCCGATTGGGTCTTCCGGGAAAGATGGACAGGCCAACTCCAGCCACGGGGAAAACTGTCACTGTGTGTGTGCTGCTACTCTTCATCATCATCTTCGCTTTCTGCTCTTTCATCATCTTTGGTGAGAACACATTCAAAAAAATTCAGACAGGAGTTTACAGTATAGTGTAACAATAAATTAGTAGTTTATTTTTTTGTCTTGTTTCCTGTCCTTCCAGGTTCGAGCACTATTGGGGAGGGTCGCTGGTGGGCTTTGCTGCTATTAATTTTCTTCATCATCTTCATTGCCCTGCTTATCATCATCATCCTCCAGCAGCCAGAGAACCCTAAGCGGCTGCCCTACATGGCACCCTGTGTGCCCTTTGTACCTGCTTCAGCCATGCTAGTCAACATCTACCTCATGCTTAAACTGTCTGCCATCACCTGGATACGATTTTCAATCTGGTGCCTCGTGGGTAAGCAACCACATCACTGAGTGACAATTTGTCTTGCATTTAGGGTTTGTGTCAGCTGGAGGGTCGCTGGGTTGAGTCCAGCATGGACCACTGCCGAAGGTGATGGCTGCCCACTGCTCCAAATTAGTATGGGTTAAATGCAGAGAACTAACAAAATTTCCCTTTGGGATCAATAAAGTATGAATGCAGACTGGTGTCCAGCAGAGCTGTTTTTGTTCGTACACAAACACAGGTGGATATCTGTGCAATTTTTTACTGTGTGGGTAGGATTGCTGTATTCTTCTGACTCACTCAGATCGGGATGAATTGTTTCTAAGTTGAAAAGAGATTTTACTCTGTCTCTGGTTTTACATTTGTTTGGAGCCCTTAAAATAATGCTTTAATAGTGCTAAAAACATTTTGTGGTTAGGTGTGCCTATGCGTAAATATTAATATTTGTCTGTGTCCCTTCAGGTGTGCTCATCTACTTTGGCTATGGCATGTGGAATAGCACGCTGGAGATCACGGCCAGAGAAAACGAGGTGCATGCCTCCACCTACCAGCGTTATGATCAAGGTGTGGACGAAGGCTTCTGTGGCTTTGACGATGATTTCTACCCGCCTACTACTGACCCCTGGGTTGCACCAGCCGGGGGATCAGGGATCACCCCGCCCCCTGAGGCAAAATCTGAAAGTGACGGGATGCCATTGAAAGGTGGGGGCAGGACCATTGCCAATCACGGCCTCGCGGAGGAGGATCCAATGGATTTCTGAAGGGACTGACTCTGTTACCCTGAATGTACTGCCTTGTCCGCTGCCTGGGGGAAGTGAGGGGAACTGTTGCGTGAGTGCATGAATGCTTGTGTGTGTGTGTGTGTGTGCTTGTGTATATCTCTGCATGTGTGTGTGTGTGTATTTGTTTGTGTGTAAAACCCTTGGGCTAGATAGTTTCTTGGCAGTGGAATGGCTTTTCATTCACCTTACTCTAACACGCTTGGCTCCCCAGCTCACACAGCAAATGTGGATGTCAAGGTCATGAGTGTCTAGTCACAGTCACTTGTTATTCACTTACTAGAGTTCACATCCCACAAAAAAAAAATCCAGATACAAAAATGCAGACGTAGCAGGAGATAAAATATAATGTGTCTCACTGCACTGTGAACCATGACACATTGTGCATTAAGCAATCAGTTAACTGTTTATAAGTATGAATTTACGGGATACAGGAGAGGACAAGGTGATGAGCGAGGAACAGATGAATAAGCACCTCTCTTCCTGTTTCAGCATAGACAGACAGGAAAGTGAGATGACAGAATGCCAAGCCCAAGCTACATCCTATGTACAGGTCTGAATTTCTCTGCTTGTTTTATTTTCAACAGACAGGAAAACATGCTCTCAAAAACACATAACACTTTCTTTAAAATCCAAAACTGCTTTCTGTCTGTCTTTAAATATTTCCCCTAGGCCCTAACATCTAGCCCAAGGGATTCAGAATTAGACTGGGAAGAGGTTGTTGATGTTCTCTGTCACAAATAGTACTTGGACTTTGCTTGCAATAGTGCCTTCATCTACTGTATGTGTATGTGAGTTTCTGATTATGTCTGTTTTTCTACTATAATTTTGCCTGTGTATGTGTCAGGGTGTATGTGCAATCAAACTCCACCTTTTACATTGATTCTCATGTCTGTGTATGTAGATATAAAGTGTGTTCTTCAGGTTGTTCTACTGTGTACGTGTAGGTATTTGTTTTGTTTTGTTCCTCCCACTCCTTGCCCCAGCATGAACCTCAATATCAGTCCACCCGCAACAAAGCAGCTCTAGGTGCAATATAACACATGCTTGACAGCTCATCGGTGTACCTAAAAATGAGGAGAGAGAATAGAAGGTGTAACAGAGGGAGAGAACAGGTTGAATCCTAATTGACAACCTGCATGGTTTATTGTGATAAATGTTATTCGTGTTAAGGAATACATTTTCAGTTCATTTGATTTAGCAAATGGATTTCCCACATAGTTATGGCCTATGTCCTAGAGACAAAAACTAATTAGGGATTGTACAAAAATTATGTTTGATTGAGGGTGGTCATTAATTTTTTCTTTGCAGATAAATTTTAAGATATAAACAAGATCAAATACAAAAATAATGAAAATTCCATTAACATATTCAGGTTGAATGTTATGGTTATGGTCCACCATCTTAAATGATTCATGCTTTACCGGTTTCAGTTATTAACAATTAATCGAATTGTACCAATACTGTTACATTAGAGATATATTAGAGGAAAGGTTTTTTTTATTAAAGTCAAGGGAAAGGTCCAAATTAAATGTTAATAATGCTGTGGAGGATCTTGCTTTTTTAAGAAGAATTTATTTTGTTTTATACCCCCTCCACACACCAATAATTTTCATACAGTCCCTACCTGAAAAGGATTGTGATGTAAATAAGTTCGAGTTTTACTTTTACATTGAGTTAATTGAAATTGAATCCTGCCTCTTTCATTACTCTCCCTTGCTTTTTACTCCTATCCCTCTGTTCTTCTGTGCATTGTTTTTTCCTCTTCTTCCATCAATCCTTTGCTCTTCCAGCCCAACTCCTCCTTTATCTATCTGCCACCTCACCCTGCTCTTGATATTCCTCAGGCCATGTCATCAGGGAGTTGCCACTCTAAGTTACAAGTGATAGAGCCAGGATTAGTTTTCAGTCTGGATTTGAAACAGCAATCTGTTCTGCATTAGCTCCTGTTTCAACTCAGGATGTCTGCTATTGCTATTCTGATTTGTCACTGGAGCATTTACTTCTCTCTCTGTGGTTCTGCTCCAACCCAGGCCCGCACTGGTCTGAGTGAACCACCCTGCTGCCCCTACCTCTTCAGTTTTTTTATGCATGTAGCTAGTGTTGAAGGCCCACTCTTTACATAGTACCTACACTGTTGCTGCACCCCGATAAGACTTCTACAATAGTTGCTGCTTTATGCCCTGATTGTCGTCTTTATACCATTTCCTCTTGCCCCCTGTTGCTGCATCAGTCCCTTCCAGGGAAGCCTTATTTGTCTAATGCACTAAATCTAAGGATGCCACGCTAAACCCCCACCCTACCTCTGCTCTCCTCACATCTATCCACAGTCAAAAAAAAAGTTTCCTTCATGTAGTAATAGGCCCCTTGGTGTCATTTGTGAAATTATTGTCTATCCTAAAAAACAGCCCAGTATCCTGACAAAATTACACTCATATTGGATAATTCTGCAGCCTGTCAATGCAGGGAGTAGTGTGCCCTTTCAGTAGTGTAGTGGAACATAAGGGTTTTGAGGATAGGGATGTGGATGGGTGTGACACGTCTGACTTTCATACAGAGACTGCAGTGCCTATCTAACACCAACCATGACTGTAGTAACATAAAACACTGATGTCATGTCCTCTTTATTTTTTTCTGGAAATTCTGGGGGGCATAGTGACTTAAGGAGTGTGCATTCAACAATTGAAAGTTGCACATAGTGTATATTTTACAAGCTGATTCCAGTATTTCTAAATGCAAGCTTTGACTACCTTTAGGCCAATGAAAATGAATAAATAATTAATTCAGTATTTCCCCATCAAAATCGTCCCCCTGACTGTGTGGAGGCTTTGAAATAGCCATAAGACCGTCATGTAGTAAATTAAAAATGTACAAAAAAAAGACTTTATTTTTGGGGTTGCGGTGCAGTCAGTATCGTTAAAATTTTTTCTTTTCTTTTTTTACCGTAACCATGACCTTTTTCTCTACCAAATTAAATTAAGTTTAAAAAAATAATTTTAGCCTAACCTTAACCACAGTTCAGTCAGCTGACTCATGTGGAAGAAGAGATTATTATGTGAATGTAGGACATGTGGGACCTGTAGGCTCCTCTCTCCTCCCTCCTCTTCCTCCTCCACAAGGAAACAACAAGCTCCGCATAGCAGGGAGTGGGTAGCAATCATAATAACCATAATATGGCATAAACCACATTGTAGGTGCTCTGCGTGGATGTTGAAATTTGTTGGGATTGAACTGAATCTGAGGTTTTGCAGAATTGTCCAATATCAAGTTTCTGTTTGGTGATAGGGTTGGAAAAAAAGCTGCACATCCTGAAACATTTGCACATATATCAAACACAAATCCAAACATATGTTCCATGATATTACTATTGAGCCAAAATACCTTTCCCACCCAGATCGACTCTCAGCTCAGCCAAAAGAATCCAGCTGCTTTGCAATTATAGTTCAGCCAAAACAAGACAGTGAATTCAGGCGTTGCCATGCCTCTGACAATGGACTGTACAGTCAACTTACTATATTATCTGCTCTGTGTGTATGCATACGAATGTGCGAGAGCATGTACAGTATGTGTGTACGTATGTGTGTTTGTGGTCTACGCCTGCGCCTCAATGTGACCGTCTGGTGAATGTGTAGCATGCTGTCATGCACGAGGCACAGGCTGTAAATGTTGTACTTGCATGTGGTGACTGATCGCAACGAGACATAATAGAACACATAATCAAAACAAATGCAGGCTTAGTTCTTATACCTGGGAACATTGCCCCCTGTGCTCTGAGACGATTTAACAGGCACATTACTAGTGAATCAAAAACCTCATTGTTCAGGACCCTTACCAGTGAATTAAACTGAAAGGTGTTGTATTCATTGCACTCCAACCCAAGCCTTTATTATACTCTATTATCTCCTTCCCCAGGTATAGGAACCAGGGCTCCATTTGTAAAGGGAGTAGAACATGTAGCAAACACATGGGTGTTGGGGTGATACCTCTCACATCCTTCCTCAACCACTTACAGTATGCCTAATTCTTGTATATCCTTTTTCTCAACCACACCCTCTGCAAGCCAAAGTCCACAATGTTTGTTTACTTTTCACATACAGAAGTTTCTTCAAAGTGAACACTTACAAAGAGAGCTAATGATTTTACTTTGGGGATCTGCTAATAAGCTACTAATGTCAGTTTACCCCAAGAAGACAGATTTTGTTTTCTCACAGTGAAGTATTTCATTGAAAGATTGAAAGTATTGGTCTAGACTCCATTGACTACAGCAGATCCATTTGTGCAGCATGGACAAGAAGCTGTGAAAAAGTACAACACTGAAGGAAAAGTCAACTAAAAGTATTTTTCTACAGCTGTCTCCAATCTGCATATCCTCCTGGGTTATGTGTACACAAAAAAAACGGGTGGTGTTATCAGCCTTCACGTTCTGTGTTTTTGTTTAATTACAAGGAGGCCTGGGAGAAACTGCTAAAAATATATTTTTAACAGCCGTAATCTCTATAGGATGATAAAGCTAATTTTTAAACCTTAATCCTTTCCTTTGAAGGGTTTTAAAATGGTTGTTCTAAACGTTGATAGAACCTTAGAAGGTTTAGGAGTAAGAGTTCTACAGAAAACACGCTGAAACTATTTTAATAAAATTCTATAAGGGGTGAACTACGAGCATAATGAAATATTGCCACTATTCCTTTAAGGTCAGCTACTATTTGTTTATTTTGTCTCGGAGAAGGCGTGCAATGATATTCTTGTGCTCTGTGTTCGCCGTGGCCAAGTGTCTAGTCAGTGTGTGTCTGACTTATTGAGATTGGCTTCTCTCGCAACATCTAGATATTCTGTTTCTCTTCTGTATATTTTGGCACAAAACTGTATAATGTAGTTGTTTTTTTATGTTAACTTTTCAATGGTTTCTTCCATATGTGTGGTTATTTTGCTCCTGGGTGCACTGTTTTTGCTGAGTTGTTGATATTGCTTCCATGCAACAATGAAAGTTCTTTATTGCAAATACTAAAAAGAGGCTTTCTCATTTCTTTAAGCTTCCTGCTCTAACGATTATAATGAATACTATACATTAGGTTCCGCCATATTTACACATTTAAGAAGGACTGCACAATTATACCCAATCATGCTAGTGTGAATGCACAATGTAGTCCATGTTTTACCAGATATGGAAGGATCGCCTAAAAGCAAAATGAGCTAGACGAGCTGGATGGTATCCAAAAATCCCCCCAAATGCTCTGACATGCAGTCACACCAGTATTTGAAATAGCTACATTCCAGTAGATTTTTGACATTGACCTTGCTGCAATTAGCAGATCTAAGGCAAAGTGGTTTGTCACATAAATTTCTGTGAATTGTGACATACTAATTCACGCAACTGACCAATAGCAGACCATCTTGACTGTGCTTACCTCGGAGGGAACAGAGAGACAGAGTGTCTAAGACAGGAGAAGCTATCATAAGACAATTAGCCCAGTTGTTTTGCATCCCCTTATAAATAACCCTGTTTGGCTGGTGACTGAGCAAGCTAGTTTCCTGAGACAGCCATTTTGCAGAGGTATTGTTACTGACTAGCCCAAGCATGTTCCCTGCTTGTCAGTGAATTAGCAGAAAGCTTGCCATGCCAATGCGAAATAGCCCTGCAAGTAGTTACTACGCCACCAAGATTATTAATTATCAAGGGTTTCCTGTGGAGTTTTGACCGTTTATTATTTTTAATCATTAATGCTATGGAACAATGTTTTTATGTGTGTGTCCCAGATTTGGTTGATTCTCTTGCACATGCACAGCGACATACATGTACTTGTGTGCATGCAGATGACGTGATACATATTCCAGCCAATGGTTTCACACTATTCCACTGATCAACAGGTGGAAGTAACATATCAAGAGAAAACAACAAACATGGATGGAAACAATGAAGGTTTCAAAGATCTGCCTTTCAAATGCTTTACGAGGAATGAAATGCATTCAACATGTTTGTTAGCCCTCAAGGACAACCATAATATGTCTTGGTAACTGAATGTAAACAGAAACTTTATTTACCAGAAAACTCCACAGAGCACCTTTAACTTTGTTGTGCCACTGTCTCGCTTGGCCAGTTAAGTACTGTACGTCAAATCATACCCTATATGACAATTCTCCCTCAGCTGGAATAACATCACATCAAGAGACATGCAGCACAGTTACAATACTTTTTTTTTAGTGTCTCTCATAATCAAAGAACATGGATTTCTATTGACTCTTTGTAACTCTCAGCAATGATCTATAATCAAATCCATAGAGGCAGCAGTACCTTTTCCTCCACCAGCAGAGTAGCTTTAATAAACGTCAGCCACATGACGTGTTCTGTTTTGATTAGAGGGGCTCGACTTTCACCCTCTCGCAACAGTAAAAAATCACTGTTATGCTCCAACATTATTGCTATGGTTTTTGATCTCACCACCACACACACAGAATAACACAGCGGAAGGGAAAAAGTTCATGGATGTTCTCTGGGTGTTGCTGAATGGTATTCTGGGAAATCACTCGGAAATTTTAACTGAAGTAAAAATAGACAAGTCAGGTTGATGGACAGTGCACAAAAGAAAAGTAAAATAAATACTTAATGAAAAAATAATTGCTGGAAAGGATATACCGTGATATCACAGCGTAATGGTGTTGGTGTATGATAATGTCCAAGAGCAAAATTTCTCTTTAAAAATGTTATCCTCTATTCAAACTTCCTCTTAGTCAACAATAACGTTTTTTGATAGATAGCAACTTTAGATAGCCATGTTTTAGCATAGCATATCATAACACTGCAGTCTCATTCAGCAGTACAGGACAGCTTGGTTGCCCACTGGCCTTCCATTGGCCTCCTGCTGACCGGATGACTCTCTGCCTGGAAAAGCATCACATTTCAGGGAATACACACACCCACATGATTGGACACAGACACACACATACACTTGCACACATAGTCGTGCCAGGAAAAACACATACACGTACTGTAAAGTGACAGAATGATGTGTAGAAATACAGTAACTGAGCGGAGATCAGCATGCAACTAGGACAGATGGTAGTGTGTGTTTAAAGATAAGCTGAGGACAATGAGATAGCACATATTGTTTCCAAAGTATCATCTATGATATAACTCAGTGACCTTGATATGGACAGAAGAGAGCACAGTCAGACACAAACTGGGCACAAATTTCCTTCTATGTTGCATACTGTGTGTGTGTTTCTGTGTGCAAGCGTGTGTGTGTGGTCTGCAGGGGAGGCCGGGTACAGTGTGTGGTTTTGAGTGTCTTAGGAACAGGCTCTTCTGTGCTGACCTACCTCAGGGTCACTGAATCAAATTACAGATATGATACATTGGTAACAATTTATGTTTCCTCAGCTTATATTCACACAAATATCGACACAACTACAACACACACGTACACACAGACTCATGATAGCCAGTCTATATCACCAACTGAAAACAGTTTCAGTCAGCTTGTTCCGGGGAAGTGATTACCGTATCTCTTTCTGTCTCTCTCTCTCTCTCACACACACACACACGTCACAAACAACTTTCTGTCTGCTGTGTTGTTTATATCGCACCCAGACAGAGAAAAAAACATGATGTGTGAGATGAGAACATCTTATCAACTCAATCCGACAAACTCAAGAAAAAGGCAGTTTTAATCATTGTCTTTATTATAGAAAATCAAATAATAACACGTCACGGAAACAATAAATAACCAGCTAATACTGCTCCTGCATGGATCTAAGTTGGAAATATCAGTTTCCTTCAGCTGGGACATATCAGGTTCCACCTGTGTTCAGAGCACTTTAGGCATTTAAACATTCAAGTCATCACATTCTTTCAAGCAAAGCTAATCTACATAATACAATTTTGTTTTGTGTGCGCACACTAGTGAAACATACTTTAAGCTACACACCTTTTTAAGAGCTACTCTATGTGAGGAAATTTGACTAAGATGTTTAATTTATAATTCCACAGTTACAAGATAAGCTGCTTTTTTGTCACTCAGTTGTTATTCAAATTTAGAACAGAAGCAAGTTAGTGACATCATTTGTAAGGTAATTTTGGATTAGGAATTATTACTATCATAAGTGGGAGTTATGGACAAAAGATTAAGGTTTTGTACTTGCCATGCCTGTACACACACTGTACTAAGACTCTAACACAGACTGGTTAAAGCTCTCTTGTGAAATGTATATTCCCGTCATGCTACTGTCTGTCTTCCTGCAGTGGCAAGGAGAAACAGTGCTACCTTTTTTAATCAAGTCTATCACTCAAGAGTAGGGCTGCAACTAACACTTTTTTTCATTACTGATGAATCAGTCGATCCTTTTTCACAATTAATCAATTAGTTGTTTGGTCTATAAAATGTCAGAAAATGGTGAAAAATGTTGATCAGTGTTTCCCAAAGCCCAAGACGATATCTTCGAATGTCCTGTTTTATCCATTACATAAAGTTATTCAGTTTACTGTCATAGAGGAGTAAAGAAATTTACATTGACATTTTTTCTTATAAGCCCAGAACGATTAATAGATTACCAAAACAGCTGCCGTAGTACTACTATACTATACTACTACTGTAGTAGTTACCAACTATCGATTTATTAACTAAATGTTGCAACCCTATTCAAGAGGCAAATTCACTAGAGAGCTGCACAATACTGTCAAAGAAAAATGAATGTACATAAAAAATGTTAATGAACACATTTCAAGTCCAAGCATAACACTGTCAAGCCCTTCTCAAAACAAAGCATGATATTATATGATTTTTAAAAAACATTGAAAGAAGACACTCAACAATCTCTAGGAGCACCTAAATAGAAAAATAAAAGTAATATAGAAGATCAACATCTCAGTCCACAAGGCCTCATGGTGATTTAGACCTCAGGCTGCTGTGCAGGCAGCTTGTACAATTATGTAACAGTGGGGAGAGTCCACACCACACCCAACATGAGGAGGCTGGAAGATGAGCTCTGTGATACAAAAACAATCCATCGGCAAAAAAGGAGCTCCAACAAAAACAGCCTTTGTGTGTTTGGATTTGTGAATGTCTCTTTTATGTATGTTTGTGTGCTCATTGAAAAATTTGTGTATTTTTCTTGAAGAACCAACATGAATGAGTTTTGTTTGTCTCTTCCAGTATAGGTTTACAACTGTGATTGTATGTGTACGTGTGTTGGAGTGTGTGCTAGTGTATATGTCTATATACAAACGATGGCCCCCTACACATCCACTTGGGAGTCAGAATGTGCCCCGTCTCTCTCAGACGTGGGCGCTCTTGGCGTGATTGGTGGAGGGGACTGCTGGCGGGTTGCCTCCTCCCTGTTTGGAGTAGTAGAAACGATTGTTGTCCTGGTAGGAACGAGATGAGGAGGACTCTGAGGAGCAACAGGTAAGAATGGACCCGCCCAGCAGGCAGAAGATAGTGCCCACCCATCCGGTGTAGAGGGAGAAGCCGAATGACATGAGGCCTTGTTCCTGGTGAGCACCGATGGGAAACCAGACCGTAGACACCATACCACACAGTGCTGAGGAGAAACAGTTGAAAGCAACATGCATACAAGTTACTAAAAATAATAAATACACACAACCATTTTGTATTACCACATATCATTAGGTTAAAAAGGTGAAATTACATAACAAAACTGGCAATGCAAAATGGTGCAAATGAAAGCAAGATCTATAAATATACAAGTTATATAAAAACAGACAAAAGTAAACTCAATTGCATGACCAGACTGCTATTTTTGAAGGGCAAATTACATAATAAATATGGGGATGTGATATGGTGCTGTTATGGTGCTCTTTAGTTTGTCAGTAACTGTGAAATGATAAAATGTATGAGTTGTATGTCCCTTCATTTATTAGGACTTACTATCTACAGTCTTCACAGAAATAGTCATAATGTGATTTTAATCCTGCTTCTATCTTCCTTTTCAAAATTAGTGCTATTTCAGTTTTGTTATCTTTAATTGTTCATACAATTGTAATTGTAATTGTAA